ACGTCAAAGTGTATGTACACTGACAGACACACACACCAAGGTGTATACGTCACTGTCACATGTCTGCTGGTCGTGCGTAAGACGCATCAATGTCAAGTACGTAAAATCTTTACTCAGTATTGATGACTGTATCCTCAATGAACATCAATCAATGATACTATACAACGTAAGTGAGTTGCCAGACAACATTTTCCCCACAAAATAATTTCGTTTTTATATCTATAATTTGGTTGTATTTTTTAATCGTGCTTTTTTATGGGCATGGAGGGAGGCATTATTTATTGTTAGATAAGGTAAAGTATTTTTTATGGCATGGAAATTTAAAAAAATGGTGAGAAATGCAGTGAAAAAAATAGATAGGACACATTATACCTCTAGCAGTGAGGTGAGTACTATTGGTGAATGGCTCTTGATCCAGTGAATTGGAGTTACCTTCCTTTACCTTGGATCAGATATAATTACCTCCCGGTCCCCAGGCGCTGTTTGGCTCCTACGGACTTAGAGCTTTTCGATAAAAATAATAATAATGGCAGCGACCGCTGGCAACCATGTCAGTGACGTCACATGAGTCATCCATTTGACTAGGGCTGCCAACTCATCATGAATTTGCGAAATTTTATTTTAATGAAAATGATCATGACCACGCTCTCAAATCACCAGCAAAACTAGATCAGTAGAGGAGTAAGTGCATCCTGTGTCAGTGCACAATATAGGAAGGCAGAAATACAAATTGAATTAGAAGATATGTGTGGAGAAAATGGAGAAGGATGGCAGATCTGCTCAATGAAGCTCTCGATTGCGTCATATTATGTTTACTAATATCGCGTGGAGTGGCTGGGATGACGCAACGTGACCCAAGGTGACGCAACGTGGCGATGGAGAGGTGAGCTTGCTTGCATGCATGAACTTTTCCGTCATGATCTTAGACTGGTCATTGACACCTTATGTTAGAGAAGTTAGATTTATCTTATATATATATATATATATATATATATATATATATATATATATATATATATATATATAATGTCGTGCCGAATAGGCAGAACTTGCTATCTTGGCTTAAATAGCAAGGTTCATCTTGCCCATATAGGACAAGTGAAAATTTGTGTATGCAATAATTTCGCCAAAATCATTCTGAACGTAACGAAAAAATTATATTTCACTGTGTTTGTTTAGTATTAAATTACTGTAAACAAATCTAAAATATATTTAGTTGGGTAGGCTAAAAATAAATTGCTCTTGTTATAATAAGGTTAGGCAAGTTTTCTAAGATTCTTTTGGTGGCAAAATTATAAATTTTTACATTAACTTTAATGAAAAAAAATATAATCTTTAAACGTGTAAGAGAACATTTTTAGAAAGGACTTAATTTTAAATGAGTTCTTGCTAATTGATCAGTTTACATATTCGCACGACATATAATATATATATATATTAAATATATATATATATTATATATATATATATATATATATAAATATATATAATATATATATATATAATTTTCAATGTAGAATCTACATATTAATCCTAAAAAGGAAATTTGAGAAATATTCAATTATCAGGGCAGATTGACCTAGTTGATCAATTCGGCATAGAAGAGAGAGAGAGAGAGAGAGAGAGAGAGAGACAGACAGACAGAGAAAGCTACCCACTAACTGTTCTAGAAACGTCCACGGGAAAATCTGCAGAATGATAGCCCTCAAGGAAGGTTCCGTGACGCTGGTAAGGGGCTCTTGATCTAGGGAATTGGATCTGTGCTCCGGTTCCCTAAATTGAGCGTGAATGCCTTCCAACCCCCCACCCTCACAGGCGCTGTATAATCCCCTACGGGTTTAGCGCTCCTCAATAATAATAATAATAATAATAATATAGGATAACAGAGGCACTCCAAAACTGGGTCATCCCTAGACTGGAGGCTGACGCTTAAGATATCTGGCTGCAATAGGATATCTGGCTTCGGGAAGCTATCCGGCTTTACGAAGCTATCCGGCTCCAGAAACTAGTTATCCTTGGCCACGGACTGACATGAAAATTAACCTGATGAGAGAAAGTCCAACCTACCCAAGGTGGTCCATGGCCTGGTCGGCAACACTCTCGCCTCACACTCTGGGTGTCCGTGTTTGGATCCCCGCTAAGGGTGGAAACATTAGGCCTGATTCCTTACACCTGTTGTTCCTGCTCACCTAGCAAGCAAGTAGGTACCTGGGTGCTAGTCCACTGGCATGGGTGGCATCCTGGGGGACCCCAATAGAAATAAGACAGTCCCTCGATGACTCACTGACTTCCTTGGACTAACCTGGGTGGCTAACCCTCCATGTTAAAAATCCCAACAAAATCTTACCTCCCCACACTCCAACCCACCCCCCACACCAACCCATTTTTCACGTACCAACCCACCCCATGTGAATCTCCCCAGCTTATCACTTTCCTTATTACGACTGTAAATCTACAGGACGTAATAACGGAACTCACGCACCCTCAAGGCACTTCCTCTCTGTCTTGGATCCTACCCTCGTTTCGCTCCCTCGTTTCGCACAATCAGATCTCCTTGACGTTTATGTCTCTTCATCCAGTTGATGTTTCCGTCTTGTGACCGGAAAGGGGCTTATAATGGATAAGACACCACTCTATATAGAACTTCATCTAGATTTGATTCGGCTTTACACAGAGCGAAACGTTGTTATTAAAGCTCTGCGAAGAGCAAAACGACGTATATATTAATTTTTGGGGGTTTCGCCGGTCTTTCTACTTTACGGCAATGCCTGCCATCGAAGTAAATCCGCAACTAAGTTACTTAGAAAGTAAGCTAGTAAATAATTATGTATGTAACTAACTTACTTAGAAATTAGTAAAGTTAACACTGGCCTGGAGTTTTCCGTCTCACTCGCCACGGGTTCAAAGCCCACCCGTTCCGTGGTTTGCTAGCTAGTAAGTAAATATGTACAAAGCTAAGTAACTAAGTCAAGCAAGTAACTTAGAAATTAAGGAAACTAGGTAGTAAGTATCTATCTATAAAACTAAGCAGGCTTAGCAAAGTTTCTCATCTAACAGAAGAGGCCTACTGAGCAGGCAAAATGTTGCAACAGTAAGAATATGTGTTGCATATGTGTCTGGTAATTGTAAGGCCGCATCTAGAACTGCAATGGTAGCTAGGAGGCTTCTAGCTGCACCTAGACGCTCTTCTAGGAATGCCAGGAGTCCGGCACAAATAGTAGGCGTACTAATAGATCTAACCCAAGAATACTGACTTTATGATGAATAAGAATATGGTAAATTGTAGTTAGTTCATGTGTAAATAGTGCTCTGAGTTCGACCTTGTTCTTGATCAGCCAGGCTGTTGGTGTTCGTCTTGACCTGCTGGAGGCAGTCTAAAGAATTGGGATTGGGATGTAGGAATAGAGGAGTAGGAATAGGGTACAAGGAATGGGGAAGAAAGAGTGGGGGAGAAAGAGTGGGGAAGAAGGAATGGGGAAGAGGGAATGGGGAAGAAGGAATAGGGAAGAAGGAATGGGGGAGAAGGAATAGGGAATTAAGAGTTTTTCTTGATTCTCTCTCTCTCCCTCTCCCTCTCCCTCTCTCTCTCTCTCTCTCTCTCTCTCTCTCTCTCTCTCTCTCTCTCTCTCTCTCTCTCTCTCTCTCTCCCTCTCTCTCTCTCTCTCTAAGCTCGAGTAGAAAGCAGAGCTGTGTAGCCCATACGGGTTTAAAGCCCTTTTCAATACAATACAAAAGATAATGACACAAACAATTATAACAATAATAATAAAAGAAAGTCACCTTTAAAATATATTAAAAAAAATATATTAAAAATATATTAAAAATATATTAAATATATTAAAAAATATATTAAAAAAGTGTAAATGTAAATCTACTTGTAAATTCAACAGCGTAAAAAAAAGGGTAGAATTTAACTAGAATAAATTTATCATCGTAATTAGAAGGAAAAAAAGGTTTGGCTAGAATATGTGTAATATATGTAATATGTGTAATATGTGTAATGTGTAATATGTGTAATATGTGTAATATGTATATGTGATAATATGTGTGATAATATGTGTAATATGTATGTGTAATATGTGTAATATGTGTAATATGTGTGATAATGTGTAATATGTATATGTGTAATAATGTGTAATAATGTGTAATGTGTAATAATGTGTGTAATGTGTAATATGTGTAATATGTGTAATATGTGTGATAATGTGTAATATGTATATGTGTAATATGTGTGATATGTATATTGTAATATGTATAATATGTGTAATAATGTGTAATAATGTGTAATAATGTGTAATAATACGTGTAATGTGTAATATGTGTAATATGTGTAATATGTGTAATAATGTGTAATATGTGTAATGTGTAATATGTGTAATAATATGTGTAATATGTGTAATAATATGTGTAATATGTGTAATATGTAATATGTGTAACAATGTGTAATAATATGTGTAATAATATGTGTAACAATATGTGTAATATGTAGGAAATTTTATTTTTCCCCTGAATAAACGAATAAAACTTACCGACATATTTATCTATTTATTTATAATTTCATTATTATTATAATTAGTAGTAGTAGCACTTTGGGATTATCATTACTATTGTTAATATTGTCATTAATAATAATAATAATATTATTATTATTATTACTGCTACTACTACTACTACTACTACTACTACTAATAATAATAATAATAATAATAATAATAATAATAATAAAAATAATCTGGGACTATCATTATTGTAATAGTTATTGTAAAAAAAATTTTATTATTATTATTATTATTATTATTATTATTATCTTCATGACAAAATGCTAAACCTTGGGGAATCGATCCAAGGAAAGGAGCTCAAGTTTCTGTGATCAAGAGCCCTTCACCGACGTCAAGAGTGAAGCATAATTGTCCCTGTGGGGACAATTATCTTAAACCAAAATGAAGTTCGGATACATACTAATTTCTTTAGGAAAAAAAAATGAATGACAATCTTTCCAGACGTAAACAATCCGTCAGCTGAGAGATGACGTGTGAGTGACGTCACAGTGGGAGGCCGAAATGTAAACAAACCATAAGCTGAGGGGATCTATGACGTTGTGAGTGACGAAACAGCTGCGCAGCCAATCAGCTGAGATGCAGAAACCAGTGTTAAGTACGACTAACCACAGACAAGGTCAAGGTAAGGAGGTTACAACTACGCAGAAATCCATAGGTGTGGTTGCCGTGGGGAAGGGTCGAGTCTCGGCTCCCGGTCCTCTCTACTTTTCAGTCTCTCACCAGATATCACACTTAAATTCTCGACCTCTTGTACCCTGTTACACCTATTCTAAAAATTTTGTGTATAGGATCCGCCTCTCCTACTCTCTGATCTAGATTTCGTTATATTCCTAAGAGTGAATAGGTACTTTCTGATCCAGATTTCGTAACACCCTTCAGAGCGAAGAGGTACTTTCTGATCCAGATTTCGTAACACCCTTCAGAGCGAAGAGGTACTTTCTGATCCAGATTTCGTAACACCCTTCAGAGCGAAGAGGTACTTTCTGATCCAGATTTCCTAACACCCTTCAGAGCGAAGAGGTACTTTCTGATATCACTGTGATTCATTTGTGTCTTTTATCATCAACGTTCCCTTGTATCCGATTCTTTTCCTTCATACAGTATATCTCTGTCAGCTCATACAAGTCTAGCATTTATCACTGTATGACCCACTGCGTCTCTCTGGTGAATGTTGCTTTTTACACAGCCGGCTTCCACAGAGGTAAGGAGATTCAAGAAGAAACCCATTCATCCTCAATCATGTAATAGCTGTCTAGCCAGAAGTATTAAAACATTACAGTTCAGATGACCTTCCTAGCGTCGACAACCTCAGTCATCCCTCAGAGTGCAAGCACTGTGCTTTCCACCTCCACATATTAATAATAGTAATAATATAGTCTCCATGGGGAAATGGTACAGAATTCTTCCTTCGTAAGCCTGTCGTAAGAGGCGACTAAAATGCCAGGAGTAAGTTGCTAGTAACCCCTTCTTCTGTTTAAAAGAGAAACTTTCGTTTTTCTTTTTTTTAGGTCACCCTGCCTCAGTGGGATACGGCCGGTTTGTTGAAGAAAATAGTCTAGAGAGGCTCATTTACAAACAACCACTTATAAAAACATAGTGGATAATTAGTACCTCAAATCTACCCATCTTATACACATATATTAGCATCAGTATCACAGGCTAATCATTTCATCATTCTAAATTCCTCTTGGAATCTACTCCCTTAGACTTCACCTCTTGCAGTTGAATTACCGTATTTTTCGGCATATACGACTCACGAGCATATAAGACGCACCCCGAATTTTGGCAGGCATATTCTGGAGGAAAAAAAATCCTGATCGATACTCAGACAAAAACTGGTCCAAAACGCTTCACATATGGCTGGAGCAGGTATGGGGAGAAACGTAGGCGATGTTTCCTTATACCTATTGCCCCTAAGTCACCTAAGCAGTAAGTAGGTACCCTGGCGTAAGCTAACTATTGCAAGTTGCGTGCCATAGATAGGGTGGTAGCATACCTTAGATCTGGGTATTGCAACGCCACATATAGGTGAGTACATATAGGTGAGTACACACACACACACACACACACACACACACACACACACACACACACACACACACACAACAACAACAACAACAACAACAGAGCCCAAGGAAAGCCGAGAAGGGAAAATGACAGGCCACTGAGCCCAAGTACATTAGCCAGTGAAACTGATGAAAGGAAAGCTGCAGTGGAGGAAACCAAATTAAATGAGGGGATACACAGGGATATGCAGTGGGAGAATGAAAGGGTGAGGTCAGTCTTTGTGTATGGGCTCCAGGAAGTCGAAGGGGAAACATATGAAGCAAGAAAACAAGGGGAAAAAAAGCAATTGAAAGCATCATGAAAGCAATAGGAGAAGACGATATGACCCAGCTGGAAAATTTTCGGAGAATAGGGGGTTTGTAAAAAAAAGAACCCGGCCAGTGAGAGTGACCTTCAAGGCAGAAGCGACTCGGACCAGGATCCTGCAGGAGAAAGCACGATTAAGGGACATGACGGCATACAGGAAGGTGTATCTCGACCGCGACAGAACACGAGAAGAAAGGAAGAAACTGAGAGAGATGGTACAAAGGCGAAAGGAGGAAAGAGAGGGGATGGAGAAGACAGACAGGAGATCCCAGACCAAGGAAGAAGATCAAATACAGCCTCCCTCACAACTTCCTATAGAAGCCTCCCAACCAGGTCAACCCCAGTGCAACCAAACACTCTAAATCAAAACACCCATGCCACATCCAATGCCCACACCCACTACATTACAAACTTCACCCCCACAGCAACAACCCATAGTTCCTTACCAGGTCTGCCCACTTCCCCAACCCCAATATACTTCCCAGACCACAGTCTTAGAAAAGAAGTTGAAGGTGTGGTATACAAATGCAGATGGAATAACAAACAAGTACGATGGGTCCTTAAAGAGGGAGCAGAGATATTGTGTGAGCCATTAACAAAGATCTTCAACACATCATTTGAAACTGGGCAACTCCCTGAGGTATGGAAAATGGCAAATGTAGTCCCATTTTTTAAAAAGGGAGACAGACATGAGGCACTAAACTACAGACCTGTATCACTAACGTGTATAGTATGCAAGGTCATGGAGAAGATCATCAGGAGGAGAGTGGTGGGGCACCTGGAAAGAAACAAGTGTATAATTGACAACCAGCACGGTTTCAGGGAAGGAAAATCCTGTGTCACAAACCTACTAGAGTTTTATGACAAGGTGACAGAAGTAAGACAAGAGAGAGAGGGGTGGATCGACTGCGTATTTTTGGACTGCAAGAAGGCCTACGACACAGTTCCTCACAAGAGGTTACTGCAAAAGCTAGAGGACCAGGCACACATAACAGGAAAGGCACTGCAATGGATCAGAGAATATCTGACAGGGAGGCAACACGAGTCATGGTACGCGACGAGGTGTCAGAGTGGGCGCCTGTGACAAGCGGGGTCCCACAGGGGTCAGTCCTAGGACCTGTGCTGTTCTTGGTATACGTGAACGACATAACGGAAGGGATAGACTCAGAAGTGTCTTGTTTGCAGATGATGTGAAGTTAATGAGAAGAATCAAATCGGACGAGGATCAGCAGGACTACAAAGAGACCTGGACAGGCTAAAGCCTGGTCCAGCAACTGGCTCCTTGAATTTAACCCTGCCAAATGCGAAGTCATGAAGATTGGGGAAGGGCAAAGAAGACCTCAGACACAATATAGTTTAGATGGCCAAAGACTGCAAACCTCACTCAAGAAAAAGATCTGGGGGTGAGTATAACACCGAGCATATCTCCTGAGGCGCACATCATCAGATAACTGCTGCAGCATACGGGCGCCTGGCAAACCTACGGATAGCGTTCCATACCTCAGTAAGGATTCGTTTAAGACTCTGTATACCATCTACGTCAGGCCCATACTGGAGTATGCAGCACCAGTTTGGAATCCACACCTAGTCAAGCACGTCAAGAAATTAGAGAAAGTGCAAAGGTTTGCAACAAGACTAGTCCCAGAGTTACGGGGATTGTCCTATGAAGAAAGGTTGAGGGAAATCGGCCTGACGGACACTGGAGGCCAGGAGGGTCAGGGGAGACATGATAACGACATATAAAATACTGCGCGGAATGACGAGGTGGACAAAGACGGGATGTTCCAGAGATGGGACACAGACACAAGAGGTCACAATTGGAAGTTGAAGACTCAGATGAATCAAAAGGGATGTTAGGAAGTATTTCTTCAGTCATAGAGTAGTCAGGCCGTGGAATAGCCTAGAAAGTGATGTGGTGGAGGCAGGAACCATACATAGTTTTAAGGCGAGGTATGATAGAGCTCATGGGGCAGGGAGAGAGAGAACCTAGTAGCAATCAGCGAAGAGGCGGGGCCAGGAGCTGTGACTCGACCCCTGCAACCACAATAGGTGAGTACAAATAGGTGAGTACATACACACACACACACAAAACATACACACACACACACATACACACACACACACACCCACACACACACACACTACACTAGCTGGCGGTCACGTCCTCTGAGAAATAACGGACACACATGCCTCAAAGCACGATTATCCCCCCCCACCGCTCCGTGACATAACAGGCCCAGCACATACCACGCGTACAAGCCGCGTCAAAAGGGAATGCATCAGTCAAATAATTATTATTATCTTATTATTAATTATATATAATTATTATTTTATATATTTGTATAGGAGCGTCTGGACATTTACCCCCGCGCGTTGAGGCATTTGCCAAACCCTGTGCGTCGGAATATAAATCCCGGTAACTGGATGCTCATAGTGGCTTTCAACTCCCCAATCTTGACTGGTAAATCTTTCCCTCGATATCCAGATTTATGATCAAGTCACTTTAACGTACTCCTAACTCATAAACTTCCTAGCATCTCCAAACTTACTTCAACACTAGTACACTCCCAAGTTGCCATAAATATATACTCAGTTAACAATAAACGATCCTACTCTATTCACTTTAAGTTTCTCTAAATTTGTATTATAGACATTAAGCCAACTGTTCTTTATATGAAAACATTTCGCCCACAATTGGCATTTTTGGTTTCAATTTGAGATGATAAAGATGGTGGATGCAAGATGGCAGACTGTAGACGATGTCTCGGTTTGTTTTTAATTTGTCATAACACAATATGTTCTTTTTTGGGGTCAGAATTTTCTTACTGTAGAACGCCTAAATGTGGAAAAAATCTCAGATAAAAAATTTATTATTACAAGATTTCATACTGAGGCTTTTATTATGGGATAAAGCCTCGAGATGTTCTTTTGTTTGAATCCTTAGTCTGAACTCTAAAATACACGAGACCCCTTATAACTGGATTAGTATAGCTGTTACAGCAGACGCCTGGGTGTGACTTCCAAGTCCTCTGCTGTCATCTTCCCATGTACTCCATGTTCGTGTAACTCTTGTAAACAAAATCTTGCATAAAAAGGTTCACCATTATTTTGCAATGAGGTCTTCAACCTCCACTGTCGCTTCACCGACGCTCAGGATTAATCATGGAAGTGATCCCTCTCTGACTTCTCATGTTCCATGGTAATTACGCTCATTTTCCCATGTAAGACAGTTCGCAATCAATCCAATAG